ATGCTGGAAGCTTTTGTTGCTACTGACCTGGAACAAATCAATGTCAATAACGGAAAGGCAGTATACCCTATCTGTCCCCAAATTTATTCAGCAATGAGTTTCCCATAGATATCAGTACTTTTTAACAAAACTAAAATGCAAGACCTATCATGTAAAATAAATAGATCCTACCCAAAATTCTTAACTTCTATAGAGCTGCCACCTTAGATCTACTACAGCTGCAGTATAGGAATTACATGACTTTTTCCATTTGGTCAAACCTCAAGTCACTTGTCCTAGAACTGAAAATCAAGTGCATTTCTGAATAGGCATCATTATTGACAAAATATTGCTATTAAATATCCATTTAATATTAATCTATGTAAATTTACAATAAGATACTGATGAAATGTATAAAATATACAGAGCCCAAGCTGGTATTCAGTAGCACTTGCCTACATTAGAGTTACAGGATCAGGCCCCCAGTGCTTGATAAAATGTAAACACATTTGTTTATACCATTAAATCATCAGTCCCAGGCATCATGGCTGGCTTTCAGTGTTTGTCAAAACTGGGTTTTAGAGCTACACTTCAAAGCTCTAAGCTCAAAGTATGAAATACATGTTCTTACTGAATTAAAGCTAATGCCTAGACATCTGTGATCACTGATGGGATGGATTAACAAAAAAAACAAAACAACCCAACAAAAAAAAACAATTTTATAAAAATCTCCAAAATTAGTAATTTACTTCCACACATTCACAGTATATACACAATCTTACGTTTTTCTTTTTTTTTTCCTAAATAAAAGAACATCAGTGTAATGAGTTTTGCAACTCAGGGAAGCTAACTTTCCTTAAGAAAGCAGCTGTGTAAATGTGCACATCCCTAGAGCAATAATGTGCTGGAGGGACACCAACCTGCAATACTGTGTTCAAAGGTATGATATGAATGTTGCAAATATCGGACCTGCCAGAGAGGGTGCTGCAAGTGAGACCCTTGCAGCAGTCTGGAGAGAGATGGGAGAGCAGAATCTGACCTCCTCTAAAGACAGGAAGAAGTCACCCTCACCCTAACTGACTGGAGGCAAAGCTCCCACCATCCTGAACGACGGCATGGAACAATCCATCTGTCTGTATTTTATGGAAGTTATGAATAAGAAAACACTTCCTGAGAAAAATCAACAGACCATCCTGATTTTAGAAAACACCAACACATTTTCAAAAACTACTGACTTACTTTCTATTGTAATCCTTTTTACTTAAGAGCCTAAGAGATCAGTATTGTAAGTTAAAAGGGACAATAAAAAGCTAAGACAGGTAACTGATAAAACAACTAACAGATGTTCTCAACAACGCAGTTTTATAAGAGAGAGAGGATATCTGTGTAAAAGGGGAAGGGGAACCTTTGATGTACAATCTTGTAAGTACTATAAAATTGGAAAACAATGTATACCTATAGCCTTTGCCTGGTGAACAGTCTTTATACTGTCAGTGAGGGGGGGTCTAGATTAAATTCCCGAGACCAGTTTCTCTGTTGGCCTGTTCATTCCTCAGGATCCCTAGTGGATCCTGGACAAGGTGGATTCAGGCTCCTCAGGACCTAGATAACATCAGTACCTTTGGGGTCATACTTGTTTGGGGAGAAGTGACTGCACAAGATGCAAAACACTGTAGAATCAGAGCCCTGGTCTTTCCCCTTCCCCCAGAACATAAAAAAGTACAAGAATATCATTAAGACACATGATCATCTCATACACAGGCCTGTTCCAGCAACCCTAATACAGTAAGGTCTCCCTGTCAAACACAGACTCAAGCCCAGCCTCAAGTCAGGACTCATTTATCCTTAGCATCATCTACAGTCCAACACATGCAGAGGCTCAGAAGTTCCAGCCCACCACCACCACTCAGACAGAAAACATATAAGCACTTTCTCCACCCTACTGTGGGCTCGAGCACAAGTTCATGAAGTATGAAAAGACCGCACACAGAAGCAGCCAACTACACTTACAGCACAAGCCAGCAAATCCCCTGAGCTCAGCTCTTTCTAGCTCAGTGTGGACACAGGGCACCTGAGCTACAGCTAAGTCATACCTAGCAAGGCAGAAAGCACACAGGCAGATCAAGGGCTCTGTGTGTTTAGGGCCCCATTCAAACCTTCTCATTACCTTGTAGCAAAGGCACAAACAGGGCGTGGGTGCAAGACAACCACAGGGCTGGTTTTAAAGGACAGCTAGCAGACAAAAGTTTTTTTAAAAAAAACAGGAGGGAAAGGAGAGAAAGAGTGGAGTCAGATACTCAACTAGCACAAACTCTCACAGCCCCAGGAACTAGAGCAACTTATGCCAGCTAAACTCCTGCCCCTATGGTCCGATTCATTCCTCACCAGCAGGCTTCCACACGAAACAAAGAGAGGCAGAAGTTACAAACAGTTGACATTTCAGCCCCAGCAGTTGTCTCCAGAATGTCAGCAACTACAGTACCTGGTGCTTTCTTCTTGAGCTCCCTCTTTAATCTTAATCTGCAACTGAAGTTAGTGCTGACTGGGTTTTGTGTGGGTTTTCTTAATGAAAAGTACTCTCCTGTTTTCCTTGAGTAATATGTTTTTCAGACATTAAATATGTTCTTCGGGCATGAAGGTCTATGAGCTGGGTGCTCAAAAATAGTGAATAGGAGTTACAAAACTGCTTAAACTGCTACTAAATTATGCATCCTTGTGACATATGCATCTTCATACCCTAATGTTGCCCATGGGTACATAATTATGCACCTGCAGAGAAGGAAGGAGGAATGGTAAGATGCTGGGACATAGCAGTTAAACATTCAGGATCATTCTGTCTCAACTGCAAAGTGAATGCACAGTTTATGTGTTTTATGACCTGCCAGTCAGAAAAGAGGGAGGCTGAAGACAAGATATGACCATCCAAAGATGGGCATCATTTTCTTTTGTCAGAGACTGTAGAAGGCCTCTCCAATAAGTCTTACAGCTATTTCAACATAAGAACACCTGTCTCTCCACAGCACAATTTCAACGCCTATTTTTAAGCCAGGACAGCACAACCAATATCTCTATCTCTGGTCTCCCTTAAGATGGCAGACATGATGGACAACAGTCTGAGCTAGCAAAAAAGGTCTCTAAAGCAATGGGCTTTCTAGCCATGTAGTTAGCAGCAAAAGGGAAAAAAAAAACCAACCAACAAACCAGCCTACAGATCACTTCCAAAAGAACATCAATGGATTGTCACATCCTGACCTGAACCAGTCCAGTGTTTAAAAGATAAACATCCATGGAGACAACTACAGCCAAGAAAGAAGTTTAAAGAATCTGTATAAAGGCCAAAGCTAATCAAAGACACACAGAAAATCCCACCTTTGTTCCATGCCTTTTTTGCTGAAAGAACGTGAGACAAAAACAGATGTGTGACAGAAGTTTCCAACAAGGCTCCAGTCAATGGTTGAGTGTTACTAACAAGGCTACTGAGCTTCCATTTGCACCGTAGTGACATTTTCTGCATTCCTTTACTCTCATTTATTTCAGAGTAAATTCACTGATTTGCATGGAATTGCTCTGGAAATTAGTATAACTGAGAGCAGGTCTGTTTGCACTTAATGGGCAGTTCTCTCCTCTCTTATACAGCCTGAAAGGAGACCCTTCAACAGAAATAAAACGGAATCAAGGATGAAACACAATTTTATGGGTAATGAAGGTGAGTAAAAACATTGAGTAAGATGTATAACCAGGATTAAAGACTTGAGCAGAGAGAGAACTTAACTGAAGAACCACATCTGCGTGCTCCATCTTGCCAATACGCCAAGATTGTATCTGGAGTCAAACTGTGTCCAGAGCCATTTAAGAAGAGCGTCTGCAATGCAGTATTTCAGGGACAAAAAAGGAAAATGCAATTCCAAGTGTCTGAACATACAGTCTTCCTCTAGTGCTGTAGAGGGACTGCAGCCAGCTACAACATGCCTTAGTGTGCACAGCATTGCAGGAAAGACCTTCAGGGGCTTTCAGTAAAGTGTACTGGCAGCGATGGAGGAAAGATAAGAGAACCAAGCATAAGACTTCTTGGCTCAGAGGTGACAGAGCAGACAATGACAGTCTATGCTTCTCCAGAGTGTGTGAACCTCAAAGAAGTAAAAAGCTATGAAGGATGGCACACTCACACAGGGCATCTGTAGGAGTGACTGAGCAAAATGATGATTAGGAAAACTCAGGACTGGGAAAAGACCTCCCAGAGAAAACAAAATAACTGTTGTTTCAAACAAGACAGCCTTTTTGGTGCTGTGGGCCAGCTGGCAGTGCAATGACACTTACACCAGCTACATATTAAAACAGAATTTGCCATCAGCCAGTCTCCTGGACCCTCAGCCCACATGACTGTCACACGTCCCTTTCACACACAATGGAAAACTAAGCTGCTAAGTTTCAGCACTTTCCTGGCATGCTCATTCTTTAAGCCAGTTTTAAGCCATGGTAGGAAAGGCAGTGGGACATACAGCATTGTCCTGGGGTTGTCAGACAGGCACTCTGGTCTGGGTTAAAAAAAGAATACTCTAAACTGACAAACAGATGCAGAAGATGGCCTCATCTAGACTTTCACCTGGTGCTTCTGCAGTTCTGGGACCAGTAACATCTTATTCTCCCTTCAAGTGAAGTGCCAAGAAGACTAATAAACACTTGTGCCACATACGAGCCATCATAATCGCTGTGCCAGGGAAAAGCTATCTGCACTTGCTTGGGATGTTCAGTGCAAGGAACACTGAGGACTAGTTCCAGCTCAGTTCCAAACAAGCAAAGGATCAGCAGCACCAACACAGCAACCGCAAATCATGAAGCAGCTCCGCAGCTCTGTTCAAAAAGGTTCCTTTTCGGCTGACCATCTTAATGTATCCTGCAATACGTTCCTGTAGGTGGGTTTACAGAACCTTGAAAGATCATCAGTGAGACATTGTGTAAATTATTTCCACCCTAAATAATGAATTACACACTGGAATAACAGTCTTTGCTGCTTCTCTCACCTCCATCCTGAAACTTGCTCAACCTTTCGAAGTATGATGATATAGGAACTTGAACAATATCTAGAATTGCCAGCAGCGTCCGGGTCAGTCTGAGAAGCTCACTAAAACTATAAAAGCCAAAGTATATGAGGTTTCGAGCCAGATGTACCACCTATGAGAAAAAGAAATTAAAAATGAAGGAAGCGTCGGCAACCTGTGTGGTATTTGGCTGTGCAATACAGTTGCATTTCACACAGCAACTTTCACAGAGATTCAGATCTAGAGTGCATTCAAATTAGTACAAGTCTTTCCACTGATTTAAATGGGTCTTGGACTAAGGCCAGCGACACCAAATGTTTTTCAGAGTTAGACAAAACAATTGGTTAGTCAAATTACAAGAGAGAGCAAAACCAACAGGAGATTTAGGAAGGCTTGAAAGGATACAATTGCAACTGGGAAAATATATAAGATCAAGAAGCAAGACTCCAGGAAATTGTTTAAAGAGGCAGCAGCTGTAGAGAAGACAGAAGTCAAAAGAAGAGTAACTTAACTGTGTTAAGTTTGAATAGAGGTGATTTCAGATGACCAGAGACAGGAGTGACAAAGCTTGGGAGGCAGGTTGGAGGCAGAACTATAAAAGCTGTAAGCATTTCCCCTTTATTCAATGTTATTTGAACCTAGAAGATTGAGGCCTATCTAAAGTTTCTGTCGGGAATTTCAAACAATATTTAAAACACAAGATTTGGTTATTCAGAGCATTTCCTTCAGTGTCATACCTTACACAGAGAATTGTACTTACTCATATTGAAGAATCCCTGCACGCTAATTCACTAATGTGGAAAGAAAGGGCATATCAAGTGTTCAAAAAACGGGTAGATGTGGCACTTCGGGATATGGTTTAGTCTAGTCTACCCTTGATTGGTTTAGGTGGGCTTGGTGGTGTAGGTTAATGGTTGGACTGGATGATCTTAAAGGTCTTTTCCAACCTAGACGATTCTATGATTCTATGACCATTCACCCACACACATATTCCTTCTCCTGCCACTGAAATGTAACCATCTCAGGAAAAGGAAGGAAAAATACAGCTGATTGACAGCAGACAGTAATACTATTTTCTGCAGTAACAGTCATCACCAAGAACACTGGAATTAGGAACTGGTGCTTCTTTAGGACATTTTACATGGACACTTACTCTGCAACTAACTTTACTTTGAAACAGCCAATGTCAACCTAGCTGGAACGAGAAGGAATACTCTAAGTAGGACACAGACAGCCGAGAAGTACCTCAAATGTAAGTTTATTTTTCTCTTTGTCTCCAAAAGGAAAGGGCTGATTTACAACTTCTTTCAAGTACTCTTCTACAAATTCCATAGTTAGCGCAAACTTCCTCTTCATTTCATTCCTTGAAGAGTCTGTGAAAGAATCATACCTACAATGCAAGGCACAGAAGGAAGAAAAATTAAACATGTCTAATATCAGGATCAGCTGTCACTAAAGAATAAACAAACCAATCACAATGCTATAAAGTTACTGTCAGTTCTCTGTAAGGAGAAGGGGCAGAGGTCAGCAAATTCTGCATAGATATGCAAAGATGGCAGACAAAGGATGCACAAATCTTCCCCCTGATAGTACCAGGAGAGGTTGCAGTGAATGGGAATAATGGATATAGGAAAATACTACAATTCTGGCAGATAGCACTCTTAAATCTTGCTGTGGCAATTCAGTAAGTCACTAAGTCTCCAGCTGTCCTCTGCCCGTCAGCCAGAGTTTACTGTTTCTGCAAGGAAGACAGCAGATCAGGAAAGCAGCTTGGGACAGTCAACTTCCTCCTTTGCACCACTAACTAGGACTGATTTGTCATATATGTTAAAACAGTCCTTCATCTCGCTAACAGAAGCAATACCATCTGCTGCACTGCTATACTTCTTTGTCTCTTCAGCCAGATACTCCCTGTCTGGGTCTAGCCCAGTGGTGCTGCTCCTTCAAATCAGTTAAGCCAGAGAGGGTTTCCATTGAAGTCAATGGGCCCGTCTCCCATACTTAAATTTAACACATGCTTAAGTACTTCACTGGATGGAGGCCAAAGCCTCTGTGAACTGTTTCTGGGGCAATAGCTGTACCTAACTGTAAATTCTGGCTTTCCAACTGTGGCTTTCAGTTGAGCTTGAAGTATAAAACTGGCTTCCAACCTAGCAAACGTGTAATGTTAGACACAATTAGATTACTTCAAGTTCAGTTGGTCTGAGGAAAGGCCATTCCATTTTTACCCAGCTTGCTCCCTATCAGAACACAGTGAAAATGAAACTGAAGGATTTCCATGTAAAGCTACCCATGGAAGTTTCCAAGAGTAACAATAATTAATAGCTCTATGTTCTGGACAAAATACCGTTTCACATACATGTTGTGTTGACATTAGACATCTACAACCATTTCGTTCTGAGACTAACCCCTACAAAGTGCTTTTGTACTTTAGTTTGCAACACTTTCAACTCACTCATGAATTGTGATCTTAGTAGGAATTTCAGTCCACAATCTGGCATATCTGACAGGTACCACAGATTCCTGAGGATCCCTGTCCACATGCATGTGTAGCATCAGTCGACAGAAAGAAGCCCGGAGATCATAAGGGAGGCTTTCATCAGACATACATCGTAGGATCAAGTCTACTGACAGCTGTGCAGAAATCTGGTTGATAGCTAGATATTGGCGGTCCAGGCACATTCGCGCAAAGAGGTTCAGTTGGTACCTTAAAAAGAATAACCACATATTTCCAACTGATTTCTTTGAATACCATGACACAACCTACCTCAGAATCTCACTTTACAAGCCTGATGTCAGCCTTTCTGATGTAAGTGCTAAAAAATGACAAGTGCTAACCAAGGGATCGACTTGCCGTTAAAAATGCTAACATCAGGCTCCAGCCCCTGCAAAGACTGGGCTCCCTTTGAAAGTCAAAGGGAACATTGTTCAATGGAAGGCTGAAGCATTTGGACTATTTGTTTTCAGCCTATGTAAGTCACTTTTCCATGATCCCATCTCCCCTCTAATCCTCAGTACATGCAGAACACTCCTTCCTCAGACCGTGCCTTGCTTCCAGGGCAGCACAACCTAAAAATATAGCCCAATAAATAAAAGGAAAGAGGCAAATTGATAGAGAGACATAAAGAGCTTTCAAGGAAACTCAAGATTTGTCTGGAATAGACAGCAGAGATTGTGATGCTTCCTACAGGAAAGAAACTTGAAACAGACTTTCAATCCCAGTTTCTGGCATGACCTGGTTTCCTTTTTTGATATTGGCAAATGAACTGGATAATAACAGCACAGGCTCTTCAGAGAGTTTACATTTTCTTCCATTTGAATAAGCAGTTTTACCTGTAGTAAGTAAGAACTTCTAAATCTGCTTTTGTGCCCTCCTTTGCCTCCTGAGCCAGATGCCTGATGGCTTTGCCATGAGGCTCCTTGTTACTGTCAATCCAGTAAAGCCACACTTCTTCTTCATCAATGTCATCCGAGATGGCTGGGCATTCCAAGGGATTGTCCATTTGTGTTGAAACCAGCCTGTAAACACAAATCATTCACAATGGAGCCACTAACAGACCGCTACGAATGTAACAACAGAGCAGAGGTAACAAAAAGCTATGTTCTGATTATGGATGCTCACTTGGTCTGAATGAGAATGTCAGCATTCCCTGGGCTCAGCATAAACTTGCAGATGAGTTCCTGAGTTACTGGTATTGCTGTGGTGTTAGATACACACAGGTCCGATAGGTAATCCAAGAATCTGCAGTCAAAAAACCAGATGCAACAGAACGTGAGACTTAAAGTACTACACAGAAACACTGCGGTAGAAATCTCTAGCATCCATCACTAATATGCTCAAGGGAGCGCATATATCATGAGATTTATCAACATACAATCTTTGCTCATTCGTACTATTGCAACTCACAACAGATACAGATGAGTAGTAGCTTTAAAAGCCACCTTGAGTGGTGCTGAACAATCAGTCAGGAAGAGAGAAGAAAAATATCCCAAGCGTGATATTTCTCAGCAAATGAAAGGCCAAAGAGTTGTGCCAGAACTTAAGAGCAGCCTGAGGCTGTCTTAAGCTTGACTGGCAGGGGAGGTCCACTGAAGGCCCTCGTCCTTGTCAGGAACCAAAAACAAGAGTACACATTTTCACCCATGTTCTCCATCAGGTAAACATGCATCTCCCTAACCCAAGTAGCAAGGAGATGTTACTTGTGCTGGAGATAGCCATGTGCCCTCTGAGGAACTCCATTGCAATAGAGGAGTCCACACCTCCACCTTTTAAAATCTCTGAAGTGATACAGCCAACAATTAGCAAAGAGAGAAGCTCTGGCAGAACCTGAAGACAGGACCTCTGTATTCAAAGAGTTCCATGTAAAGCAGAAATAACAAAGCTGTGCATGGAAATCAGTTTCCTATGAATTTGTCTCTCAAATTTAGATCTTCTGATGTTTAACAAGGTTCAGGCTGAGGCTTTCCTCACAGCTGGGACATTCATTAGGTGTCTGCTTCTTGTCCCTCTTTCATGGATTCCTCTGTGTGTATTAACAGCAGTCCATATTGCAGCCTTTGCCTCACTGGAATATAAAACGTGCCTCTTCCCTCTACATAGCTGCTTCGTAGGAACTGAGCATCCCTAAGCCCACCATTCCTCTAGCAAATGTAGCTAAAACTGGGCAAGAGGCTCAGGAGCTGGTGGGGGAGCAGATATGAGCAGGCACACACAGACAGATCATATACTCCACTTCCCTAGAAATCCAGGTAAAAAATTTGACCATGTACTATCAGCCACTCAAGGATCCAATAGTTTGAACTGCTACAGGTGATCATTCTACCAGAGGGAATCAGAAAATCATTTCTGCATTAGCACAGACCACACTCCCCACAGAAGTCTGGGAACTGCCAGGGATGAGTACAGAAAGCATTTTTAGGGTACACTTAGGAACAATTTTACCCATCGCTGAAATGAAGCTTTGTGGCAATAGGTAATTAACAGCGCACAGCAATATCACATCACAAAGATAACATTAAGTAAACAGCACATAATTACACAGCATTCTGGGGGAGTTACCCTGTTGGAGCTAAAACATGGGAAATTTTGTAGCTCTCGTGTTTTAGAGCATACTACCACCGTTCTTACTCACACAAGCAGTGCTGCAAAAGTCTACAAGACTCTTCATGAAAATAAGTGCCTTTACTGTTCAGATTGCACCATCTTGGCAAGGTATATTTTTCAAACATTTATTGCTCTTGGACATCAGCCTTAAAGAAGTGAAGGTATATTTTAATGCACAGCAATCGCGCAATTTTTTTACTTATGCAACAACAGTACGACACTCTCCACCATAAAGTGACGTGAGATTGTCAATAAACACTAGGACCCTTCAGCACTGAGAAGGAGCTGGTGTCATGTGGTTTCCTCTTAGTACTGACCAAACCCAATACATTTTAGCATGGGAGAGGCAATGAGATTACAGAGTGAGGCAAAACGGCGGCAGACATATAGAGAATAACTGAAGCAGTGAAGCACCAGGGCCTTGAGGAATATCCTTAATCGCTAACAGAAAAATGGTATTCACAATTACAGAGGACATTATTTGGCCTTCAGTACATTAATTTCCTATATTTGTATTACTTCGGTAATCTTACAACTGAAAATCCAATGAAAAAAATAGATAGATTTTCCATTAAAAAAAATCTATTTCCTTTATATTCTGACCTAAAGTTAATCAAAAAAATTTCCAACTGAGTGAAGTTCAAGGCCAGAATTTTTCATTTGGAACAAAATCTGGTCTAAAACACATGTTAGCTCAGATCTTCACTGTCCTAAGCCCCTTTCAGGTCTGACCTGGAATCAGGACCTGCAGGAAAATTGGTAGTAAGTTTAGAAAAATCAACATCTATGTAATTTGCACCAAGATTATTAGCAGGGGAACCAACACAAGTGGCAGTTTCATAGAGGAGCTGCAGAGTTGTGAGAAATGAAAATTTCTGTTTGCCTGTCTCTGTCCCAATCTGAACTAAAACCAAATTTTCAAAAGTGTCCTGTAACATATAAACCTTTCTTTTCAGTAAGTTCTGGTTCTGAAAAGCAGATATGGTCAAATCCCAAGAATTACAGGTATTTCTGATATTTTCTAGCATGACACTACATGTGCTTTTTTGTCTGCCAGGTCAAAAAAAAATTAAGCTGGGAGAAAGAAACAACAAAACAATGAATAGCAAGCAGATTCACAGCTACTGCAAATGTAAAAGCCTGTCAATACAGAAGAAGAATGTTACGTGGACCACTTCAAACCTTGGCTCTCGATTTCTCCTGAGTAAATTAACAAATGTCTCTATTTCTTTAGCCGTGATGTGTTTCTCTAGCAGTTTTCTGTTGTTGTGCAACAAAGCTGTGATGGTGTCTTCTGCCAGGATATCATAACCAATCTGGGACTGCATGACACAGAAGTTCTTAGCAATATATTCCTGAAAAAATGAAAATTCCCATGATGACCTGTTAAGCAGTAATGTTTTTCTTTTAGAACCAGAAGCATCCAGCTCAATTAGCAATCAAAATAACCCTCAAAACTTTCCTCTCTGAACTGGCCTGAACAAAAGAACATCTGAACACCTAATATATGTACCCCAAGAAATAGATTCAATATTCAGGGTGACTAACTCTTCTTATTCTTTCATAAAACAAAGGAATTAATCCATGAAAATACATACAGAATTCCAGAAATGGCAACCAATTTTTTAAGGAAAAATCAAAAGGTTTTTTTAACGTTTAAGAAGTTTTCTTTCCTGAGTCTTCCCTCCTCCCTTTCTCTCCCTCCAAGACAGAAATATTTCTGTAAAGCATTTGAATGAAATCAAAGAAGCCACACATAGCAGTTCAATTTTTTATCTCTAGTCCCTTTAGTCCTAACGAAGCTAGTGCAGTTTTTCCCCACTGCAATACGCAAAGCACTCCAGACCATGTTCTGAAATACTTCTTGCTCATGGGGAGTCTTCAGCAGTGGGAAATCAGGCTACCTGATAGAATAACCTCTGGTCTGATTCACCGCCATCCCTCTACAAATACTTAAGCAACAGAAAGACAGTTTTGCAGACTTCCCACTCTATAATCCAGAGTCCAAAAGCATAATTTTAATAACAGAAAGCTCATGAATGAAGCAGTGGACCCCAGTCTCAGTCTGAGCCTGTGAAAGTATAAGGTGAACATATGATATTCATTGCTGATCACCCAATTCATATTCAAATGCCTACAAAACAAAAACACTGTTCCTCAGCATGAGGCAGTATATGACAGTGACTTCTTATTACTAACCTACACAAAACCCAGTCCTTTCACCATTACCACAGAATCCCACTTGTAAGTGCAGAGAACAATGTCAAACCCAGGATATATTATTGCAGAAATCAGGAGGAAAATTCTCTTGAACACCACTGACCTGGTTCTTCCTGTAGTCCTGTTGGGAATGTCTGAGAACTCTGTAACATAACCTTAACATGTATTTGTAAGGAGCGTATCTCTGGTCACCTAGGTCTTCAAGTCTCAGCATCGATCCTTCACCTTTGTCCTTAAAAGGAGCTTTGAGGATGCCAAATATCTGTTCAAAATCAAAATCACTGAGAATGAAAATCAAACCCAGATTTTTGTTTAACTTATAGCAGTCAATGGAAATGTCCTCTGACAGGATCAGCAGAAGGGCCTTATTGACCAAAGTCTGAGGTGAATCACTGCACTTATCTACATATGACTAAATACAAGTGGGGGTACGATCTCAGACATTACAGCTTTACACGTTTAGCTTTACATTTCCCACCAACTTGATTGACATTGCTTTCTCTTCACTGCTATCCCCAATTTTAAACATTGTTAGTTAAGTGCATTAACTTTGGATAAATTAAGGATGAAAAGGAGGACAATCCTGGCTGCTGTCCAGTTTCATCCTTTTCCCTTTTTTTCTTCTAATTTCAGTAGGCTACTTAAAGAGAATATTAATTTTGATTTACATGCAAGTTGGCCCTCATACAAAGTCAGGGATCCATACGAATTTTTCCTATATGGGGAACACTTGCAGGATTGGGACCATGTTGCAAGCTTGTTTCAAATTCCATCAACAATTTGCTATCAAATGTAGTCTTAAAAGTCATTGGAATCACATGAAACTAAGAGCCATAAGACATGGCCCCTCATGCTTCTATCTGATTCACAGACCAAGAGGTGAGCCTTGACTAAGTAGTGTCGTATCTATCCAATCCAACCAGACACAAACCCAACATGGCATAAGCCAAGTTACCTAAAAATAACATTTTCTCAAATCACTCTCTCCTACAATCTGTTTGTAAATACAAGCCAGTCGTTAATACTGTAGGACATACCTGAGCCAATATATTTTGTTCCCTCATTAATTTTTGTCGTTCACGGTTTGGCTTGGTAATGACCACATCCAAAACTTCCTGCCCGTTATTAGGCACATCAGCAACAAAGAAAATGAGATCTTCCAGTAACTTGGTTACAAACCTAGAATGAATAGACAAATCATTATTATACACAATCATTCAACACTTGCTAGGATTCATTAAGAAAGAAAATCACCTTTTAGAACAAGCTTTATCTAGCACAATGGAACTTCAATCACTGCAAAGTTAAGTTTGACATGTACTTAAGGATTCCAGACCTTGGTTCAGC